AATCACATGTAAGTATAAAGAAGTGGGCGGGGACCGGTGGTGCTACAACATAGGACTTTTTGCACGCCTGTAGTAAATTTCAGCGTTGTCACAGCTCTGTGTGTTGGTCTCATATTCAGTTAGTGTTGTATTATTAGACACTTCACACATTTGCACCTCCACTTCACAGGCGGCTGATCAGCTAATCCCCGAGCGGGACGGGGACAATGTGGGCCTTGTTCCGTATGTGTGTGGTATGAAAATCTCTGCAGATGTGGCAACAGAGACATTAGAAACACATGACACACTTAACATGTTCATACTATTACCTACGTAGATTAGAATTGCGCCACAGTGAGGCCTACTTAATAACTTATGTTCACTGGGTGTGAATGGTGCAACACATCAGAGGTGTTTATACCCTGTTGACCTTTTTATGTGTTGACACGTCACAGCCGCAAACATGAAGTAATCATGTTCTCTTTTTGTAAACGATCATAAAGTGGTGGACAAATGTGAAGTGAAAGCAACATTCTTCTTTGCATAAACCCTAGAAAAAGAGTTTTTAGATCTTGCAACAGTTTTTGAATTTGGATTGAGGCCTGGGCAATGACTGAGCAATTCTGACCACAGTCATTGTAAATATGGACAATGCTGATCTTCTAATCTCAATGAAGCCCAATAGGGAAGTGCTCATGGACAAGGTTTCACTCTAACTTGCTCTGGCTCCTTGTCTAGCTCATTATCTGTTTGTGTCACACTCACCTCCTTAAAAGTATACAATGTGTTCTTATTTTGATATTAATTAATTCATTCATTTTCTACTCCTTTATTAGTCCATTTCTGGGTCGGGGGGTGACAATCAGTGCCACCCAAAGCTCCTAGCACCTGTCCCTCGCTGATCCTCCTGCAGGTGGTGGGTCCACAGGAGGATGGCTGCTTCTCCGTCATCGGTGACACAGCCTTGGTCTTTCAGCGGAGTTCAGGCAACATGGGGTTAAGTGTATTACCCAAAGACACAACGACAGCAGAAAGGAGTGAGAGCAGTTGGAGTAGGTCTTGTGGGGGGATTGAACCCACGACCTTCAGGCCCAAAGGCACATGTCCCAATATGATATTGCAAAGACAATATCATACCGGGATAATGTCTTTTCAAATCCAAGACATAGACCAATAAATGATATTACGGCGCAAAGCCAAGATCACCTGAACAAATGCCCATATAAGGAAATTGACCCCAGCCGGCTTATGTTCAAATCTGCTTCTTCCACATTCAGCAAACACAACGAGTGACGTCACACTCCTGATATACAGTCAATGATTGTAACACATTGTAACGTTTTGTAAACATCCACCCCAAGCTCCAGCGGCTTTTCCTCCCATCAACCCTGACACTCATACCTGTCCATGCTGAAGAAAAGTATTCCCATAGCATGATGCTGCCACCACCAGGTTTGGCATTTGGGATGGTGTGAGTGGAGGCAGAAATACACTTAGTGTTTTGACCCAGTTCAGTTTGGGCACTGACTTGACTGCAGCACCTCCATATGTTGAATGTATCTCCTGCTGGGATCAGTTGTCCTTGTTGGAGCTGTGAGTTTCACATTCACAGATGAGGGATTGAACAGTGCTTTGAGAGATGTTCACAACATTAGAAAATGTTATAAAACTTGAACCTGCTTTCAATTCTCCACAACTTCCTCTAACTGCAAGCTGCTGATTTTGGCCCAATACAGTATTGAGGTCTCCGGTAGACTTAGAATATAGATGGACATTTGTTCATTCATCAGTCATCAGGAAATTGCACTCTGAGTGAGAGTGGAATACTCACTTTGAACGACTTTGCAAGTTTTTGAACAATGACATCATGTTTCTTTTTGCTTTCACTGTAATTTGTTTCACTTCTCAGTTATTTCTGTTTGTGACTTGACAACATGTGAAAACGTCATGAGCTGGTTACTGTACATATCGTTTGGGTATTGAGGCCAGTTACATGTAAAGCATTACACCAGGCATGTGGATATGATGTTTCATTATTATGCATTACTCTTACAGAATCCTATCTGATTTTGATAATTGAGATTCAAGTAATGACCATGGTATTCACATTTTGTAGGCAGGAAAGAAATATTTTTAGGCTTAAGATTAATCAGTTCAACACTTTTTCAAAAATACAGTAATTTTTTGTGTAGTGTTTCTCATGTTGTAAATCTTACTTAATCCAGTTAATTTAAAACAAGTGCACAAGTGGAGAACTGTCTTCAGACTTGCAGTCTTAATCCTGCCTTCACGATCGGCTGGTAGATTGTTGATGAACGTATTGAGCAGTCCTGTCTGACATACTTCTCTTGCTGGTGCTCTAAGTTGCTAAACTGTTCTGCGTTATACAGTTCCTCTACACAGTGGTTATGATTCGAGACAGTAAAGCTCCATCTGTCCTGAGGCAGACCTAAGAAAGTGATAATCTGCATCATTGACCCTTGAGGAAAAAATTGCACTTTTCAGCCTCAGTCATTCTCGTCACGCCTGATCGTCCCTGAGGTCTCCGTTCACAGGCCCTGACTTGCTCAGCCTGATGAGATAGGCCTTTGAGAAGCAGGTACTAACACTCAAAGACAGTACTTCTACTTTTGTGATGGAAGATCCACTTTTTCTGTTATTTTTTTGCTTGCATGTCCACTGTATGGCATTAAACTTGTCAATCTGCACTTGAGACAAGCAAGTGGCTTCACAGCCTCAGGTCATATGAGCTGTCCAACTAACAGAGAATTGTATGCATTACAGAATATATGCAAGATATGTGCAGTACTTGCTGGACTACAGGAGGATCTTTGAGTAACATTGTTGTTTATAGTTTTTTTCCGCTCTGGTCACGTGACTGGGTGGCAAAACAGCATAGAAAGCTACCTGAATGCAAGAGAGTTAGCTAGTTTTAGACGTTTGGAGAGAGGTTTTACTAAATCAAATGGTCCATACTTGTTGTGTGGTCGGTTGTTATTCTAGTTCTAATTCCTTTGGAAAAAAAACAGCAAAAAATGGCCGCTGTGAATTGGTCCGCACATAAAAAGTAGGTTGCTCCTTTATGCTGTTACCTACGGTAAACGTAGAAAGGGAAACAGGGGGGATGAGGTGATAAAAATTCAAAAAAATAAGAGAAATGGATTTTCACCCCAGACCTTGCGTGAAGGGTCCGAGGAATAAATGTCTCACAGCAGATCGGTGCCAAGACAGTCTGATGCTTGTCCTCATCCAGGGTCTCATATGGGCTTTGGATTTGGTCAGCTCGGTTTTTAACTTTCTCCACTGATCTTCTTGTGTTAAAATGCTTATATACGATGCATTTCACCCACTCGTCGCATTCATGCTTCAGTATGTACCACTCTGTGTTCTTGCCACCTTTTTAGAAATCATGTTTTCTGTTCCCTGCTTGAAGAAAGAGCCCTGTGAGGTACTATAAGATGCTTTGGGCAGAGGGCCCAAAAGGGGGCCGCCCTCATCAGCTCTCTGAAAACTAGTGAAAGAACCAAACTGTTTTGAGAGCGAGGAGCTGTAGTCATAATGTATTACTTCCATTTTTGGACTTTGAAAGGAAGGTACCTGTTGGTTACATAGTCCTATCATGTTTTTTATTTATTGAAAAAAAATAATTATCAGAATAATAAATAAATAATGTATACATTTGCAGAAGTGCAAGTCATTGACCCATTGTCCAAAGTACAACATGAGAAATATATCGGAAAGGCTTACAGCTTGCTCTTTACCAAGTCGTTTCCCAAATAGCCAGAAATATTTTGGTGCCAAATAAAATGTCAACCCTTTTGAGAAAACTCAAATTGACAGCCATGTACTTTTGGCAAATTTAGGCACAGTGGTTAGCACTCTTGCTTCTCAACAAGAATGTCCTGGATACGAATCCCAGTCTGAGAGGAGTATGCATGTTCTCCCCATGTCTATAGGATTCCCTTACCACAAAACACACAATAGGAAAGAAGGTAACTTCCAGCTCCGGACCTCAACGAGCCGAATATCAACATCTGGATATAGCGCTTTTCAAGACATGTCATTATTCTTTCACTCATACAAAGTGGTAATAAACTAGTATTGTAGCCACAGCTGCCCTGGAGCACAGTTACAGAAGCAAGGTACACAGTACTTGTTTACCTTGCTTCTGTAACTGTGCAGCTGTATCATCGGTCGCTCCAACCATGGCCAATCATTCACACACACACCAGACTCCTTCTAGACATGGTCAAGGAAGGACATTGTGACAGTATGGACACAACAACAGTGTGGCACAGCCACAGCGGCCCCACTGTGACACCTGGTGTTCCCACAGGTCTCCCATCACAGAACTAATCAGGCCCTGCCCTGCACAGCTTCAGAGGTCTGACGGGATCAATCTTTTACATAGGTGCACTAAATTAAGTTCCCCATGGGAAAAAGTGTTTGCTTCATTTCAGTCCAATAACAAACTTTGTAAAACAGTTTTTTAGCAAATGAACTCTTTGAATCAACACTGATCAAACCCTGTGCGTACAATGCGTATTTACAGTACGTGTTGGCATCACAGTACGGCCCCAGCAGACACCTGTTGTGCCCGTCCTCCGTGTGCGTGCGCCTCTGCCGTGCGTCCATCCTCCGCAGTGACACCACGCTCTGAGTCTGCATCATCCTCCGCCTCCTCTTCACCGGAGCGGACACAAAGGCGCGTTGTGTCACTAATTGCGAGGGGCTTTACTATTGCCGTGCTCAAATGCGTATTATGCCCTGTGCGGCTCACGGCTGCTGCGGCTGCGGTCATTAAGAAATTCCGACGCGGATCAGGGGCCGATAACGCACGGGGGAAAGAAGGAGCGCAGATCGAAGGCTTTACATAAGAAAGTAGCGGTGGGGGATTTTTCACGTGAATCCTCTCAATATAAACCGACGCCACCGCGGGCAGAGGCGAGACACAAGCACAGCGCGGGGAAGAGGAGGAGAAAACTCATAATATTATTGTTTGGGTCCATACCGCTTCCACCATGGTCTCCTCGTATCCGCTGCCCGAAGGCTTCTCCGAATTTGACGTGTTCTCCCTGGGATCATGCCTGCTCGTGGAGGGTGAGTGTGGTGGATGTGTGTTTGTGTTTCTCTGTGTGTGATTTGGAGCAGAGCCAAAGGGGTTTCCTCGCTTTACAAGCCCGGTACTGTCTCTGGGCTGGCTCTGCATGCGCTGGATACCATCGCTGTCAATTTGATTCAGTTAATTGGTAGTCGTTACATATGCTTTTTGAGCGAAATAGTTTAATGAGAAGCAATGCAGATTATACAATAACATCGTATTGAGAAGCTGGACTATACAGGCTTTAAAACGTGTTACAGAGACTTTTATAACCCAATTCAATGTATTTTGTATTGTCCTATATCACAAATGGTCTCGTAAGACTTTAACAAACACAGAAGAGCCATTGGTCCATGAGGTCGGGATGATTACTGTTCATACATGTTAAGAAATGTCCTTTAATGCTGACACTGTCCTCAGACCCTCTGTATCTGCAAGAAACTTGCACAGATGGACAGGCTGTAGATCCAGGACTGAGGCTGTAGATCCAGGACTGAGGCTGTAGACCCAGGACTGAGACGGTAGATACAGGACTGAGACGGTAGATACAGGACTGAGGCTGTAGATCCAGGACTGGGGCTGTAGATGAGGCTGTAGATCCAGGACTGAGACTGTAGACCGGACTGAGACTGTAGATCCAGGACTGAGGTTTCAGACCCAGGATTGAGTCTGTAGATCCAGGACTGAGGTTGCAGACCCAGGACTGAGGCTGTAGACCCAGGACTGAGGTTGCAGACCCAGGACTGAGGCTGTAGAACCAAGACTGAGACTGTAAATCCAGAACGGAGGCTGTAGAACTAGTACTGAGGCTGTAGACCTAGATCTGAGGCTGCAGAACTATAGTGCTGAGGCTGTAGACCCAGGCTGTAGATCAATGTGGACAGGACTGATAACAGTAGCAATATTTATTCAATATATAGATTGTTTATTAATCCAGATAAAACAGTCGGCTGTCGGATTTGTTTTTCTCTTTCAGCTGTTAGGGAAGTTTTATATCACAACATGAAGCTACCTTATACTCAATCCTATATGTACAAAATTAACTTTCTTTTCAGGTGTGGTTTAGTGGCTCAATACCCCTTTAAATACTGCGATAACTTAATGGAATAACAACATGACATAAAATATTATAAAAAAAATATTTTTTTCCCCATAGGTTTATGTAAATGTAGATGGTGCTGTATGTAATATAAACATGTGATTAACATTATACAATACATAACAGTACCGTCACTGCAGGCATTCACTTGTTTTGTTTACATGTTGTTGTAAGTTCTTGACTCCTGCACATAAAAGCCTATAGTATAAATAGACATTGAGAGGTATTTAGGACGTACTCTGCTGTTCCCACTGATTGAGCTGCTGTGAAAGGAGACTTGTCCAAACACAACAGCTGCTCACTGTCTGTCTGTCAATCCCTCTAGACTCCCACTGCATCATGGGATTCCTGTTTGGGGCATATTTGAGGAATTTTCTCCCATTCACAACATCCAATAAAGAAACACATACATCGTTCTCAAGAGTGTTGGTCCTCCACTCTTGTCAGGAGTGGAAGTCCAAAGGGTTTTAAAACAGACTCAAGATAAGGTTGCACGACAGGTTGGACTAAAGTTTAGATTCAGTCAACCTTCAGGGGCCAGAGTTTTGTCCGAAATGTCATGTAAAACAGACAAAACACAGAGCCCTGTACCATTCTAAAACACTGAGGGCTGCTTAAAATAAGTGCATATATAAAGAATAGAACAATATTTTAGAAAAATTAAGGAAACTTCTTTAAGGACGTTAAAGTAGCCTGGAGTCACTGGCTCAGAGTGGCTGAACTCTGGTACCTAAAGGTTTTACATGTTTGGAGTAAAGACCTTGTTTATAATATTTAAAATTGTATTCTAGTCTTGTTAGTTTATAGATTAATAATATTCATTTTGACTTCCTGGTTGTAGACAATGTCATCATCCTGAATATATGGCGCTCTAATAGAAACTGCAATTATGTAAATTGTGAAAACTTTACAATGAATTTTGGAGTATTAGAACTCAAATTTCCATACATTTAATTCATGTTACGGTTTTTCCTCCCATGTGTGTCTGTATTGTTGTAAAACTCTTAAAAAAGAACTGATTTCACACACAAAAAAACAATCGCAGAATGGTAAGGTTGTCTGTCTTCCCCACTAAATTTTACATTAAAATATCCTGTGAGTTTTTTTACTCTTCTGAAATTCTTGTAACTTTCACAAACTGTATATTGATTGCTGTAAAATTATTATTTAACTTTGATACAGTCATTTCACAAAAAAGTCTAAATTCAATTCCATTCAATTTATCAAAAGGAGCAACAGCCAAGGTTCTCCATCATGTCCATTCGTCTTTACGTCTGATGTGATGTTATATTACACCTTCTCATGTGTCTCCCTGGCCTCTCTTCCCACAGGGCTGCTGGGATTCCTGCTCAACGCACTGACCATCGTGTCTTTCTTCAAAATGCGGGAGCTGCGAACGCCCAGTAACTTCCTGGTCTTCAGCTTGGCCATGGCGGACATCGGCATCTCCATGAACGCCACGGTGGCCGCCTTCTCCAGTTTCCTGAGGTCAGTGACGTAACGGTTTCCATGAGCTCTTTCATAATGGCTTCTGGCAACAAGGTGACATCTCGGCAAATGCAATCAGCTAAACAATCACGGCGGTGCAATAATCAATAGTGCTGGATTAGAGTGCGCATATGGCCTTCAAATCCAGCCGCCGTCATTGGGATTCACTACAATACTATGGAGATGATCTTTTGATACTATGACCTACTTTTTCTTTCTGAAGCACAGCACCATTGTGTTTAACTGGGAGTTTAGTGGTCCCTCGTTTATCGCGGGGTTTCATTCTAACAATAAGCCGCGACTAGTGAAATCAGCAAAGTAGCAGCTGTAAAACCCCTCACACTTACTTTAGGCACATTTATAACCTCCTGAACTCACGACTGCTGAAGTGTGATCGCGAAGATATCAAACCTGTTCATTGTAGGTCTGACTTTGGATAAAGGTAACTGTCATGTTACACCAGCGGTTATCGGATGGTGTATATGATGTTGTTGCAGTAAAAAAGCACACAAAATAGCACACAGAAAAATCCACAAAACAGAGAACCCGTGAAAGGTGAACCTCGTTATAGGGACCAGTGTATTGTGGCCAGATAAACTGAAGAATGTTGCTTTAGCATTGCACAGGGCAAATGTAAACACGACTTTGAGAGGAAGCCAATTGTTTTAAATTAATGTAAAAAAAACTTTGTTCTGCTGAATAGTTGTACTATATTTGGCAGTTATTGTTATCAGACAACATGTTATCTTTTGCTTTCTGATAAGAAGGAACCCTGTGAGTCACTATTTGACGCTTTGGGCTGAGAACTGATCACCTGTGGGTGAGGGTGGTCCTTTCTTTTTCACTTGTCTGTCTGAAAAAAAATTGGTTGTGGTTTGAACTTTTGATACACCAGCTTTAGATCTCAAAATGGAAAATAAACTATTGAATGTTTTATTCTTAATCCTCTGACATTTGTATTTAAAAATATCAAGTTGGAAAAAGGTAAGACAAAGCAGCACATAACGTATACAGTGGAATAGAAAATATCTTTACAACACAAAACAATTATGAGTACATTGGCGGTATCAAAAATAGGGATGGTTAGAGCCTTGAATGCTACTCTTAAAGCAGGGATACAGAGAATCTTAGAAATAGTTGTTCCATGAGAGACTCACCCAAATATCAAACTATGTCCTGAAAATAGTAGTTCCTTGAGAGACCCTACCCACTGGAGTCACCTGACACCCCTGCTATAGACCATCAAGCTCTCCTTATAACGGCTGCTAAAATATATGTAATGAGAGCAGTGAAAGATTGTATCTGCGCTATCTGTCTGAAAAACTCTCCTTTCTCACCTCGAACATCCACTATGTATTCACGGTTTTGCCTTTTCCTCACAGATATTGGCCCTACGGCTCAGACGGTTGCCAGACGCACGGTTTCCAGGGCTTCATGACCGCTTTGGCCAGTCTGCACTTCATCGCTGCCATCGCCTGGGACCGCTACCACCAGTACTGCACAAGTGAGCGCCTTCACTATCACTATAGCTTTCATAGTTCAGGACAGGGAAAATAATCAAATAAGTCCTTCCTATGTGTTTAAAACAATCAGTATGTAGAATACAGAGCATGGGCAGAGCTAGTAAAATCCTGGGCCTGTGTAGACTATATTCTAGCATTGAATTGAGAAACGATTCAATCAAAGGAATAGGACCAAATGTCTCTCTACTGCTATAAAGATTTTAAAATGGGTGTTTGACAATTTTGGGTTTGTTATCAGCTTGTTAAATGTGCTGGTTAAAAATAGCACAAGTGTCAGGGGTGAAAAATGAGCTTTCTTTTCCCAGTTTGAGAGAAAATGTTAAACAAAAAGAAATGATGTCCTCTCTTTGCTCTTTTGATTTTTGTAAAAAGACAAATTGTTTACTGTGGAGAAAAATGCAGAAATGTAGTCCTTTCAAAAAAAAATTGCGGGGAAATGATAAGGCTGGGTTATTGTACATAGAAGCAAGAGATATATATCTATAAGGTATTTGATTTTGCAACAGTCATGCTTCTAATTATTCTAACTGTAAAATGTATTAAACACCATATTATTTGTTTTTGAATAAATAAGATTTTCCCCTCATCAAAAGTAGACTTGGAGTTGTGCTTCAACCACGCTACGATCAGGAACTCCCCCCATCCCTTCTGTCTAAATCTTATGTTTTCAAACGGCTGACCTTATGATGTCATAGAACAGCTCTTTTATTCCTTTTAAAACGACAAATATAGCCTCAAAATAGTTGAAATTTTGTGGATATTTTCTGCATTTTGAGCGCTTTCAATTACATGTGACATGTCAGTATGAAATATGATAGCAGAATGTCATTTCCATGTAATGATAAAATATAAAGAAATTATAAAGCTATACTGTAATCTTATCCATTGATATTATTTATATATTATTAGATGTATATTTGTATGGCACCTTTCAAAACAGAGTGAAGTGCGACACACAACCCCTGAAAACAGATTAAGCAGTGTCAATGTACAGACGTTTTGACCCCAATCCAGGGGTCTTTGTTTTATCAGATCTAAGAACTGGAAATATAAGCTGTATTTAAGTCCTGCTCCGAGTGAGGAGTAAAAGGAAACTCTAGAGAAAACATTCCCAAGATATCGAGTCAACAAACAGAAATAATACTTCATATTTGTCCTTTAAAGAAGAATTAAGATTTTTAGCCATTTAAAATGATAATGAGACTTTTTACTTTGTCATCTCGTGTTTTAAAATGTGGCATAATATCGAAGAGAAAAATTATACGGCAAAGCTAGTGTCAAGGGTAAACATTGCTGCCTGCCCATTTTTCCAAATTTGAGCATTACCGGCTGCAAACACACATTGCAACAACAACTAAAATTATTTTGAGAAAAGGCCAAAACAAATTTATGAACGAGATTTTTTTCATTTCAAATGCAGAAAACTGCTCTGAGTGTGACAACAAAGTGGTTCACTGACCTCATGCTAGTACAGTACTGGAACAGAAGCTTTTATGCCAGAGTTTCCTGATATTAGAGTGGCTGAATCTAAAAACACCAAAAAGATGTGTCCTTTAAGCGAGAAAACTGTGAGACACTGCAAACACACCACAGGTCTATTCTCAGGCCAGACCGCTGGGGGCACATGTTATATTTATATCCATTATGGACAACGTGTGAATGTGTGTGTGTCTCACCCGCAGGGACGAAACTGCAGTGGAGCAGTGCTGTGACCCTGGCTGTGTTCATCTGGCTCTTCAGCGCCTTCTGGTCCGCCATGCCCCTGATCGGCTGGGGCGAGTACGACTACGAGCCCCTGCGCACCTGCTGCACCCTGGACTACACCAAGGGAGACAGGTGGGTACCAAAGAGCAGGACTACAGTGGGGTGTTGGCTCAGAAAATATAGAAAGCAAGAGCTGTAATAAGGTGATACTTTGAGATGCCTTGTGTGTGAACTGTGCTATACAAATACACACACCTCGCCTTGCCTAATTATCTATATTGCAGAGAGGGACCATAGATATTTACTATGTTAATTCAAGGATAAAAAGTCTGATCAAAAGCTGCTGTAGTCTACCATATGATAGGTTGTCTGTAAAATTCTGTTTGTATTTTTTCTCTAGAGCCATAAACAGGGGGAAACGTGGGAGTAAAGTGGAAAAACAGAACTTTGTACATACATAGATCCAAAACAATTCCTACTTTTCTCACACATTCCTCACATTATAACATTTTTCCACGATAGGTGAAAATTACCAAGTTTTTGCCATCCAGGTGGAGTAGCAAGAACTCGCGTGCCAACAACACACTTCCAGTTTCTCTATAATTCAACATGATTGGACACAAGACTCTCATTTTGGCGATAAGAGTTGCTTTTTGTTTACAATAGCACTTAAAAAGTTACAAGCCAGATCTACAGGACGGCAAGTCACTCTCACTAAGAATGTATCCACTCAGGATGATTCACATTTACAGTCTCTTTAGGGTTTTATCATCTAAAACGTATAGTGAGGATAAGTATGGCTTATTGTCATACCTGGGATATATAAGACACAAAACACAGGTCAGACAATATGAAAGGGAAGTAAAAAGGATTTTGGATTGATCATTGTTTTCTTTTTGCAGAAACTACGTGTCCTACCTGATCCCCATGACCCTTTTCAACATGGTGGTGCAGATCTTTGTGGTCATGTCCTCGTACCAGTCCATCGCACAGAAGTTCAAGAAGACCGGAAACCCCAGGGTGAGTGGTTTCAGATAGACGTTATAGAAAATGTAAAAAAAAGTAGACATAAGCCCCATTCCCACTGAGCAAAAACATGTGATCCATCCACACCATCCTTCAACCCGCCACGCAACCTTGGCGCCCGAAGTCACACGAGGAACCACACTTTACATAATGACAGCATAACAACTCGAGTAACAGTTCTGCTCACACCTTTTTCTATTCCTACTGCTTTATCTCCTGCTTATAAGGCTCTAAATGCTGATGCTACAATTATTATTACTAACTGTGTTGCATCTATGACAATACAAACATGAAAGCTGCTACTACTACAACTTACACTGCTTGTAATACTACTAGAGTAAAAACATGAACACGCATAGAGCTTCTATCTACTACTAATCCCACTGCTTTGAATATTCTCTAAAACTAATCCGCCGACAGCTGATTCTACTATGAAATAATCACAGATAAAACCCATACTTCACAATTTGTGCTAGATGTAAATACACAAGATTAATGATGAAGTAGATAAAAAACAACCATTGAATTTGCCAACATAGAGAATCAAACCGTTCAAATGCAAGAAAGAGAGCCATTGGTCCATAAGGGGCAGATCACCAACTGCCTAAAGGAGTAGCTCAACGAGATTTTTGCCTGGAAAAAGTATCTCTCCAGGAGCGAAAAGGTTGGAGTCCCCTCGGTTTATTGTAGCGGTTGCCCTTTGTATACATGAGCCGGTAATATCAGCTGCTTCAGCAGCAGCGGCCGCTGCGTCTCTTCGAGGCACTTATGTAATCTGTTCAAAAATGCGGTGCTCTGAGCCCGGCAAAGACCTCTGCAGCTTTGAAGTATTGCTGCTGCTCGGATTGACCCGCGGGAACTGTCAGACATCTTCTTTCCATTCTCCTGTAAGCCCCCCCTCCCCTCCCCAAGCCCCCACATGGTCCCATTCGGAGCAAAAACAGCACAGCCACACATGTATATGCACTGTGCAAATATAGGTCATGTCTCATTGTTGTTGTCGCTAGAGAGAGAGAAAGTAGAAACTGGTTTTTGAATGGGATGCAATAGTAGTAGAGCTGTGTCCCCCAGGCTTGTGTACAGTAAGTTATGTAAAGACCTTACTCACACTTCCAATACGTTTTTCATCAGAGCACAAATAATTACGTAACGTGGCACAAAAAAATGCCCCAACGAGAAAATGAGGGTGGAGAGAAAAGCTACAGTTTGGTTAACCGCGTAAAACTGGCAGCAAATTCAAAGTGACCATGGTGCAGAGGCCCAGGGTTTATGGGAAAATTGCATGTTTTTGAATGAGCTGTCGGCAACGCTGTTTGGGCCTATTTTGAGATCACTAACTTTTTTGTATCTAGTTTTTTGTCCCTTCAGTCCAAGTAAAGTGTTCAATGTTTTGGGATTAGAGCTGATTGGCTGAGCGGGAGTGGTCCTCTCTTTTTTGCTAATTATCCGTCTGAGGAACTACTTCATTGTTTTTTTTTCCTTTATTTAACCAGGAAAAATCCCACTGAAAACCTCTTTTTCAAGGGAGTCCTTGAAAAGTTATCCACAACAGCTTGGAACCCCAACTTTAAAAAGACATTATTTGTGTTGGTTAGGTTATTTATTTGTTTATGTGCCTGAGTATATGTGACTGGTTTGAAGATATTTCTGAAAGCCCCAGAGCTGAAATCCCTGCGGTTGCCCTTTGCTCGGGTTGCCAGCACCACTGCTTGTCAACAGTTTCTCCACATTCTGAGGACAAAGTTTCAGCACATTCCCCATGAACCGTCCAAAAGTATCTGCTACAAACAACACTTTTATCTCTTCTCCAGATTAATGGCAAAAGACAGCAAAGTGTTTCTGTTGCTTGACTTTTATTTACTGGAAAGCTGAAACTTCACTGTTGTGGAAATATGAGAAGAACACATTAAAAAAAGAACTATATTGAGTTTGAGGAAATTCCTTTGGGTTTTGTGAGGCTTTCTGTCATTGGTATGCAGCGGTCACATGATTCCGGATCACTGCAGGTTTAAAACTTTATTTGGAAAGGTCCGTTGAAAAACATGAAGGTGTAATGTACAAGTTCAACAAATCAAACAGAGTGGAATTAACCGTTAAAGTCATGTTGTGTTACATGAGATTTGGCTTTGATATTATTGGTAAGGAAAGGGTGAAACGACCTGAGATAATTGTAATAATGTGAAGAAGGTTAAAGATAATGATGACAACTGTGTAATTCTACCAAACCCAAACAAGCACATTTTTGGGGAGGGTATTCCTTTTTTGTGTTCTTTTTTTTAATTTTTATATAGTCATACAGTGTACAATGTAATTCTATATCCCCCAAGGTTCATCCATAGAGGTCAGTTTACACATGCAGCGGCTTGGTAAATTACTAATACGACTTGAACTTTTGCACATTTTGTTATTATGATAATAATAATGTATTTGTTTTATGTCGTGATATAACATTACTATGGTGCTTCAGAAGGCATTATTAATTAACACCACACATAATGGTGGTAAACCAGTGCAGTAGACACAGCTGTCCTGGGGTAGCTAATAAATCTAAAAAGTAAATCTAAATCATATGTTCCTGGATCAACATAGGAAGAAAGCAAAGAGCAAAGAGGATTTCTCAAAGCTACTTAAGTGAAAGCAGCAGCGTTGTTTGATACATTCTTGCGTTTGGACAATGGTCTGTTTGATGCTTGGATTATATGGACCTTATCTGGACCGGTTCAATATTGTAGGATCTTAAAACCTGGAGCAGACTTGATCCCAGACGTGTGACTCCGGACCCTGCATGTGACTATGGTCTGAACAGAAACATAGATTTGGTGGATATGAAGTGGTATAGTATGGTTTTATAAAATGAATAAAATAATAACCTTTTTCCAGTCTAACCAGACTTTTTTCTGTCCAAGTATTTTTGCCCACGGTTGGAAAAAAGGGAAAGTCCTCAAAAAGACATGTTTAGGAGCAGTTTAGCTGTTTAGCTGCTTGTATTTTCAATTATCACCACAAAATTAACTGTTGTGACCCACTTGCAGCTTTCAGAAAATGAATTTATCAAAGGAGAGATGTAATCCCGTTTGTAAATGGATTTGAACATGCACACGCACACACACGCATACACGCACACACCCACACACCCACACACACTGTACCGTTCAGAGGTAAATTCCATTATTTTGATCCCGTTGTATAGTCATTAATAACAGTGATCAAATGACGTCCAAGGCATTATAACATTATTGTTGTAACTATTCACAAACTAGTTTTCAGCCTTTGGATGTTTTTTGGGCCATTTAAATTATTATTTTATTATACATTAAACCTGGTTAAAGTATTTCAGAAATGATTTGTATTTATATAAAACTACTTTTATATCTAGTACAATAATGACATTAGAAGTGTGAGATCGTTACACTCCACTCCGCTTTACTCTTGTAAGCAGCAGCAGCACCTCCTAGTGGCTACGTAGAAAAATTGCACTAGATACAAACACGAAAAAGTGTTTATGTATTTACTCTGATAGTAGAGAAATTTTTTTTCCTGGACTTGTGTAGGAAAATGTTCTACACGTCTACACACGTCTCTACTAAAGTAGAGACGTGTGTAGTGTTTCCCTGAGTGTATATAACAGTTGAACAGGAGCCTTCACTTCAAATACTAACCTTAGTTCATTTTTGGTTCAGTCTGGAGAAAAATCACTGTTGAATTTTCTGGGTGCTAAGAATCACAGCTAAAATAAAATTATGCAACAAGATATTTGAATACAAATGTACAAATGTATTATATACATAGATAATGTGTTATATACATATGTGTAAATATGTATAATATACATGTGAGGCACATTTAGGGACATACTGTATATGTTATATGGACATTTATGCACTTTTACTAACACTTAAAGACTAATGGTTCCTTTGTGATTGTTACTGTTGCTGAGCTGTTGTTGTCCTCCTGCTGTTGTGATTTAGGGCTCTGAAAAACTAAATTGAATTGAATTGAATGCATATGTATACAAAAACATTGTGTACCTACAATGTCTTTACATGGTACATGTACCAAGGGAACACAATAAAGTATCAACAAATATATAATACGTAACGAGCAACTATTGGGGCGACAGTAGCTCAGCCTTTGAGCCAGAGGGTCTTGGGTTCGAGCTCGACCTTCTCCATCGACCCCCACTGTCTGCTGTCATTGTGTCCTTGGCAAGACACATAACCTCTGGAAACACCAGCCAGAGTGCGGCGGCTGCGGCTGTAAAGTGCCAAACTGCTGTTGTGTCCACTTTACCCCCATTGCCTAGAATGAGTCTGGTGTGTGTGTGAATGGTTGGTGGTGATCAGAGGGGCCGATGGCACATACCGGTGGCCTCGCTTCTGTCAGTGTGCCCCAGGGCAGCTGTGGCTACAATAGTAGTTTATCACCACCGTGTATGGAGTGAAAGAATAATGACACATGTGAAGCGTCTTTGAGTGTCCAAAAAAGCGCTGTATAAAACCAATGCATTATTATTATTATTATGATTGACATGAATTTTATTACATTGTCAAAAAGTTAGGGACCCCAGCTTTAAACATTGCAAACATTATTCCACCACAAATGGTAATTTATGAAGATGCTAAATGACCTTTTCTTCCAATCTTTCTTCCAGTTCAACCCTAACACTCCCCTCAAGACTCTGCTGCTGTGCTGGGGACCATACGGCATCCTGTGCTTCTACGCCGCCATCGAAAACGCCACTCTGGTGTCCCCCAAACTCAGAATGGTACAACCCAACACTCTTCACATTTCACAAACAATAACGTCCCATCACTAAGTAAACACAACTGTTGTTTTTAGATGGCTCCTATCTTGGCCAAGACCTCTCCGACCATCAACGCTTTCTTGTACGCTTTGGGCAACGAAAACTACCGAGGCGGCATCTGGCATTTCCTGACCGGGGAGAAGATCGAAGTGCCTCAGATTGAGAACAAATCCAAATAAATCAAACGTGTGATCGTATAATTTAAATGCAAAAACCCTCCCGCTCAGTGTCCTGCTTTGTGCGAGGTACTCTCTGTAGATGTGTGGTGCATGTGTCTGTACAAATCTGTTACTGTTGAAGACGTCAGTAAAATAATGGGATACACAATGTCTGGTGATGCAGTTTTGCTTTGGCAGGAAGTGACGCACAACTAGCAGCGTAGAGTAGCATAGATTATACATAAGAAACCCCAATTCAGGTTGCACAAAAGTTGGGTGAATGAGCCAAACAATGGTTGATTTCAAAATGCAGTATTTTTGTATTGCATCGTGAACACTTCCTAGTAACTACACCACAAAGTAACCTAAAAATCAGTCTTTCTCAGCTTTTTGATCAATTACACACAACACTGTTTTTGACATGTTTGAGTTATGTATATTCTCATTTACACGCACTGCCATTGCCATCTGACTGCTTATACCTAGCCGCTACTTTTTTCAATTTAGAGATGCAGCCAAAGCATGTATTTGTATTTTGTTAGAACGGTAGTTTGGACACAGCTCTATCATCTGCAGATCTCCAGAGCTGATGACGAAGCACAAATTCATGCTTCTTGTGTGTTTATGTGAACAGTAGAGAGCAACCGGTTTATTGTTCAACCTTGTTTTAGTTCAATCTAAACATTTCTTATGAATCATATTTGATGAAGAGCCACATCATAGCGTATCACATTATAGAGAACGGAACTGAGTTATGTCTCCTTTAACTAAAGATCAACAAATGTAAGAATTGGTTCAGAATGTGTCAAACTTCAAGGGGTCACATTTGAAAAGCACAATACAAAAAGCTATAAGAAATATAGGATTCACCACCCAGATGTTGTCAGTGATAAAGAAGATTTTAAAAAAAGTCTGTTGATTAAAGGAAATGAGAGCAGTAGCACTGTCTAAAAGCAATTTGCCCAAATTGATGAAAAAGACTACATTTCTCACTAGAATAGGATATATGGCGGTTCTAGAATGAAGTCTCAAGAACTTCAATACTTGATTGACAGTCCAATCAGATCGCAGAGGGCTCTTTCCTACAAGTATGAAAAAGATCACTTAATTCCTATAAGATCGAGGTCAAACTGGTTCACAACATTTTACTTATTGCCATCTACAGTAAGTAACAGGAAGTCACCAGTCAGAAAAGAGAGGTAGAGACAAACGACATGTGTTATATACAATAAAAGTTAGGTACCCTGACTTTATGAAGTAATGATAAGCCTAGATTAAGTCATGCTTGATCCAATTTGTAAAGTGTAATTGTAAATTAAGAGATTACTAGATCATTTCTCCTTATTGAATGCTTTTCTGGCATTAGAGACAGATGTATCAGAAATTAGCATGTTATGAGATTTGCCAGTTCAAAAGCTCAACAAACATTGTGTTTCCTCCTCCAGCTCAGCAGTGTGGTCAGAGCACATTTTCAACATTCCTTTGAAATACAATAGTCTTGCGATTGGACACAGAGTTCATGGGTCACTACAGGGCATGATAAATATGAAAATGTAGTGCAGAGCAGCCAGCACTAAAGTATATCCACAAGAAAGATTAGAAACTCCATCAATCTATTCTCATGATCAATCTTTCCAATTTACAACTCATATGACTTAACTTCACTCATATATTGGAGGTTTTTTTTTTTTTTCAACAGTTGGTTATAATTACATTTCAGTCCAGAAATATAATGAAAGTGGTGTCTGTTGTGGGAACATTCTAAATAGTTTTGAGGCATTCCGCTAAAATTTACACCAGGACTGACTCCAAATAACGACGTACAAAGCAGAGAAAAGGCTTATTCATACATTTTTATTTACGTACGTTTTTTTCTTTTTCATGTCTCATTGTGATTGGTTGAATCTTTCTGTCGCTCAGTCAGAACATAAGTGCTCGCCCACCCCCTGGTTCTTGAAGTAAGACACGTTTTTTTCATATTTCTCATATTGTAATATTGGAGCTGGTTTGCAGGGATCAGCTTTGTGCTGAATAATGACCTGACTGGAAAGGAAACAACCTGTGGGGAATAGTTACTGTAGCACATTGTAGTTAGCACATAGCTACTTAAAAGTGACACATTATTCAAAACTTGCTTTTAAAAAAAATAGTATTATGATTGATAAGAAACATTAAATTTTACACTTCTTAGTTACAGTCTCAAGAACACTTTGGTATTATTTTGTCATATTAAATACATCTATAGAAAGATCAATAGGTGTAAATAACTGTCTGTGGGTTTTTTCCACTTTCAAAATGCTCCACGTTGAAGCTGCATTTGACTAATAAATACAATATGTATTTTCAAAGTAAAGCGTGGAAGTTTTGAGCTACTCTCAGTACTTATAACTGAGTCGAGCACTGATTAGCACATCTGCCGTGTCTTCAAATGTTCATATTTGGATTTTTCTAAACTCCTAAGAGGATTTTGTTGGTAGCGTGCAAAGAAAAATTATTTGTGCATTTTCATCTGCTCATGTCGCGCTGGAGTCAGCAGCGGCACCAGACAGAATAATGTGCCTTCGCTCCTCACATCCTCATGGAAGCATCAACTCCACAATCAATTACAGAACCCTGCAAGACAATTTTTTTTCAGTATCTTAACTGTATTGTGACTCATTTAAATAATCCTGTATGTACTATGCTTTGATTTGGCAAATGAATGAGTGCGGCCCAAACTCACAAGTGTAAGGTTTTAGTATGAAACTAAAGGTCAAAGTTATCCCTACATTTATTTTATACCCATAAAATACTTTAGTCGCTCCTTTGTCAACAACCGCTGTCCTAATTCTAGTAACATCACAGTGAGAGAAACATTTTATATTTTGAATTCCCTCTTTTTGAATGAACAGTTTCCTTCTGAGCGACCAAGAAATCAATCAAAAATGAAAACTGTACAATTATTAAATGTAAAAAGCTAATTGTGTCTGTTTTGTATTATTAGGTTGAATAAATGTGTCACGTAGCTATTGTAATGGGTCAAACTTGTAGTTGAGTCTCCCTTAACCACAACTATAAAATAATTAAAGTCAATATCTCTCAATATTCAAGTGTAAATTTCTGCCATCGGGAAAAGCACATTTTGACTTGATACTATAAGAAAAAAATGGACTTAAATTAAGCAATGAATAAGTTGTTTATTTATTGCTTGAAATAAGCTTGAAAAAAATATACTCAATAAAAGATTGGGCAAACAAATCAAGAACCTTTGCGGAGGCCCAGACTGAGAGAGGGATGGACAGGCTGTAGACCCAGGACAAAAATTGGCTCAAATAAGATTTACAAACCAGAATGTTCTTTTATTTACACATTTCTGCTTGATTAAGGCCAATCTCTAATTTAGAAAGGTATTATTCTACAATGATGTTGAAGCTGATCTGAAGTTAATCGAAAGTCTGAAGTTTATTTCTCTACTTAAGATAGGTGATTATCAAGTTTAAGGTTTTTTTTTCTTTATTTTGGGCCATATGTAGCGACAGGAAGGCTGTATACTGCTGTACCACCCTGCTGCTTCTGCACACTGCTGCTATTGTCTGATGTGGCATACCGTTGATCACAAATGAATGTCACGTCTCTGTAAATGTTGCTTTTTGATGGATGTATTTGTAGTATTTTAGATATGATCCTGCAGTGTAAGATTCTATCAGAATATAAACTATGAATAAAGACTCTGACATTTCAGACATCTTTTTCTTTCCTGTCACGGGTTCTATGCACAAAGCTGTGTGACATATTGCAGAGAAAATACAAGACAGCTTTGACATTTCCATTGGAAGGTTTTGGTGTGGTTTCTACCCCTGCTCGTTTGTCCCTGCTTAAATATTGTTATAATTTTGACTTTGGGTTTGTGTGGTTGTATAACAATCCTGGACTATCTTTCAGAGGTAAAGGGCGACACAACATATTTTCTATTGTGTCAATGGGCTGCTTCAAGGGTTTACTATCCCCACGGAGTTATAATATGGCTCACTCCACACTAAACTGTACTTACAAGTTCACAGCACCCACTCTTGTTTTTTTCCCTGCTTGTTTGTCAGTGAAGGGTGCACTACGTCTGTTCTATTAATAAAGGTCCAGACGTTTTGGACGTTACAACAAGTGGACACAAAGTGATACATTCACAACTCCCAGTTTGTCTGCAGTAATTGAATAATATCTTTTACATATTGTACAATCTATAATTAGAGATTGATTATAGTTATATCCCCAATGAACACAGCCATTAAATAGTCTGTGTCCTGTTCATTCTTCCATTCATAAAGCCTTCAACATGACATGGCCTAAATGTATGTGTATCTAAAAGCTACATAGTATTAAAGAATTATGAGGTACAAAAAGGTTTGGTTCATTCATTTATTCTATTGCCGATTGAAATAAGCTTTGACACATTGTACAGTTTAGTCTGGAGTGAGCCATGTGCAAAATTGCCCTTTCCGCTCTTTTATCATGTTGCAACATTGTTCCCTCACCCATTTAAATATCAGAAACTCTTGACAAAATAAACTCTACCGCGTCTGTGTAAAAGCTCCTGTCTCATGTGGCGTTTATGCGATCTCAGAAACCCAGCAGTTCCCACTCAGAAAAATGGGACTTTACAAAACCGTTGAATTCGCCAACACACATCAGAGAATCAAACTGTTCACACACAAGAAATGCAATGATAGAAAACACAAAAGCTATTGGTCCAAAAGGGGCAGAGGGCCAGTGTTGATAAAATGTCCATAAATGTGGTTGAATGTGAGTGTCCTGGAAAAACTCTCCTACAAAAAAATGGGAATGACTGCTGCTCAACTCAGAGACTCAGCCTGGCTCAGCGCTCACAGAGTTTGCCCCATATAAAAGCACACGTTTATGTGACTTTTTTTCTCATGCTGTGTGTGTGTGTGCGTGTGTGTCATCAGTTCTACAATAGTATGTAAATGTAAGACTATATGACACCACCTGTAAGCAGAAGACATGTTTTCCCTTTTGCTAATTATAAC